CCCCCCCCCCCCCCCCCCCCTTCCTTTCCTTGTAGGCTTGCAGAGCCTTTATTTCCATGGCCATCGTCGTTTCTTCATCCTTCCTTCATCATGATCTCCTTTTTTTGCCATCGTGTCTCATTTGTTCATTGTCTCCGCCTGTCTAGTACTCCCCCCGGCCTTTCCTCCTGGGCTTGTGGAGGGTCTCTTTCCGTTTCTGTCGTTGCTTTTTCATCTGTCTTTCGTCCTCCATTGCCGTGTTGCACTTGCTCATCGTTTCAGCATTCAGCATCCCCTTTTTCACTTGATGCCATCGTGTCTCATTTGTTCATAGTCTCCGCGTGTCTGGTACTCCCCCAGCCTTTCCTCCTGGGCTTGCGGATGGTCTCTTTCTGTTTCTGTCGTTGCTTTTTCATCTGTCTTTCATCCTCCGTCGTCGTGTTGCACTTGCTCATCTGTTTCAGCATTCAGCATCCCCTTTTCCACTTTATTTTTGTGTTTCCTCTTCTTCCTTTTTTGGTCCTGTTGTTTCTCTCTCTTCCTCTCATTGTTTCTTTTCTTTTTTTCTTTTTTTCTCTTTTGTTTGTTTTTTTGCTTCTATTGTTTTGGTGAATCCTTGCTATGTTTCCATGTACGTCGTGTGTCATCTTGGTTGGAGCAGCAATCTTGCAGCTTTGCCTCCCTGTTTGTCCCTCTTTCTCGGCGGTTCAGCTTCCAGGGATCGATGATCGATGATCGATATTGCTGCTTGAGCTGCGATTGGTTAACGTCTTTTTTACCTTTTTAAGAAACGATATAGTGTAGTGTGCGAGGAAGAGACGTTCACCACTCCATGCTCTCTTTCAAGACAGAAGGTTTGTGTGTAGCGGCAGGTGTGTCCTTCCTGTTTTTCATTTCTAGTCGTATCTCTTTTGTTGTCGAGACGGAATGCCAATGTCCGCTTCAACGGTCAATCAAAGAGTGACTGTGGGAGGAAGAAGAGTGGATGAAGCTCTCAGTGGCACTCCAAGAAAATCTCCGAAAGATGGGAGCTCTCAGAAACCTAAGACGTTTCTGGAGAGTTCAGCAACATCGCGAGATGACATGTCGTGGAGCTCCCCACGATGGATGGACCTCTCCAGTCGTTGGGTACATGGTGGTGTGAGGATGCTTGTGCGTAAGCAATGTCCAACGCGGAAGAAGTCCGTGAGAAGCTGGACTCACGGATACGTTTGACAACACAGAGAGAGAGAGAGAGAGAGAGAGAGAGAGAGAGAGAGAGAGAGAGAGAGAGGACAATGTCAAGTGGTTTTCTGGAGACATCCGTCGGCAGCTGACTGTTGAGGAGGCTAGACATAGC